AAGGCTGAAAATAGGTAACAAAAAAATACAAATTATAGGTCGAACATCACCAAAACCAGAAACGGACGTTTTTGGTCAAAGTTATATCATAAATCTTTTGTTCACAGACTTTTGACTTCTCACAAGGGGTAATATTTCAAATATGAACCTGTCAAGACGAGACTGAGTTATTACAAATGTCCACTAGCAACTGTTAATTGTTCTGAATGGTTTTTCAAAGATACAGGATCTATCTATAAATTACATGAATCGTACTTTTAACATATGCTCTCGTGCACTTATGGAGACCTCTGTAATTGAATTTAAAGTCTGTTATTATTTTATTTCTGAGGGTAGGAGCCTGTGGACTTGGTTCAACCAGTTCTTATGGTAACTGAGCCACTGAATACAACGTGAGATTGCTTTTGATTGAACTGCTTGCTTGATTCTCTTATTATAAATTAGTGGTACCCTATCTTCTCGATATAACTTAACTTTGATATGTAACTATAATAACAGTCAGAATGTCAGAAAAGTTCCAGGACTGGTGTAATAAAACTATTTGTTTCAGATACAAACTACCGCGAGCCTGTATCATAGGACAAGACAATTAAACATTATTGTGGGACTGATTTCATCAAGGGGACCTATTTTAAGGATGTGGGCGATATCAAGACGGCCGCAAACTCGTAGTTTTGATCCGAAATAAATCTGTTGTGAACCCAGTCTTGAAATTTTTCTGACACACCCCGTATATAACCAATCATTCCATTTAATATGTAAAGGTATTAAACCATCTCCACATACATGAGTCAAATATTCTTTTGACATAATATAAGAAAGCCTCCATGCTCCATTATATAATAGACATGTAAAACGTTGAATATGCCCATATGGCAGGAAACCCATCACAAAAATCGATAAGCATAATCTTAAACTTCAAAAGGAAGCCACAAACCAAAGAAGAAAACAATGTATAACTAGAGCCACTCGTGGCACAGAGTGGGACTTTGCAAATGTAGCAAATTGCAAAAGACCTTGAAAAAATCATCCTTCCACGATAATTAGATCAAGCGCAAGAACAGTCTAAAGTTGAGAAATTTTCATTTTTTAGAAGATTCTAATACCGGAAGTAGACGTCAGACCTCACAAATGAAAGTATCAGCAGATAGCCAAGGTCAATGACCTTTGATCTTGTAAAAGAGAAAGTCTAAAAAGGTCAAGATCAAGAGATATACGTCATCAAAATTTGTAATTGCACACGACTATAAAACCGGAAGTTGACATATGACAGCAAATATGAAAGTACAAATAGATAGCCAATGCCAATGACGTTTTATCCTACAAAGGTCAAGGTCAACAAAGGTCAAGGTCAAAAATTGAAAATTTTCAATTTCCAAAACCTGTTCCTTTTTTTGAACTAAGAAGCGGAAACAACCGAAATTCTAAGACAAAGTGGCTCACAAT